CAGTAGCTATAAGAGCTATAACAAAGTATCACCTCCTTTAAGCTCAGATAATGAGAAACCAAGAGAAAGAACAACGTTCTGTGCTCCAACAATAGAAGGATTATGTTACCTGAAATTCTGGCATGACACTAAGAAATTAACCTACTCCCTTCTTCTGAGGAAGGTAAGCAAACAGAAATACCCAACTTCAAACCAGGTAACTACCCCTACTCTTTCTCTCTATTTATTATCTAACCAGAACATTCTTTGCTGAAATAGACGTCTGGTGATCAGCTTAGTCCTGCATAAACAAGCAAAACATCGTGGATATGATATATGGAAGGCTTTAATTCTACTGGGAGCAACTACCTGGTTTTCCCTCTTCAGTGTCCAGATGTACATCACATCTGACACTACACAGGTCGGTTGTGGATGCCCCATCTCTGGAAGTGTTCAAGGCCAGGTTAGATGGTCATTGGAACAACGTGGTGTAGTGGAAGGTGTCCCTGCCCATGGCAGGGGAGGTTGGAACGAGATTGGTCCCTTCCAACTCAAATCATTCTATGAGTCTATGATTCTGTGAAATCACTGACGTCGTAACCTTCAGTTTCAAAGTTGAAAATTTCATAATACCATAGAAGATACATATTAATGTGCTGTTCAAGCCATCTAAAAAAATCTACACTTTCAAAATCAGTATAAAATCAATTCTGCTCTTACTACAATAATAGATGAAGTCCTGCATTTCTTACCTAAATAAAAACATATTTTGGAGGGATTTTGCTTGAAATAATTATCTTTTTTTTTTTTTTCTACATTATACAGAATTGAATTATATTTGCCTTTCAAGTATGAGAAATCACATCAGGTAAAAATTCCAAGAAAAGTCTCTGTTAACTTTCTTATCAAACATACTTGATAGAATTTACTCTAAGTGTTAAAGTTTAAATGCACAGTTTCAACCTTAAAGCTGACAGGCTGTTGACAGCTGTGTCTTTGCATTAATTTCACGAATACAAACACTTCTGTTGAGTCTGTGCACTACTTAGCTGTAGACGTTTTATGTGTGTTACAGGTCATGTGCAACATCTTCTGCAATTTGCTTCAGCTTAGTTGAGCAGGCATTTTGCACCCAAAGGCAAAAGGAAGACAACTTCCATCTTTGATTACACATATGCAATATGTGCCAGAGCCAAAGATGACTGTGACTGGCATGTGACTTGATTCTGTGATTCACTGGTGTCAGGCTATTTATTAAACTAGACAGGTGCTCACAATTTTTTTGTTAGTGCTGAATGGATGAATTTCAATCCCCATTTCCAGACTCTACTGACACTTCCTAGTGCTCTCATACAAACAATTCCTATGGCTATTCACTCCATGGAATCCTACCGTACTGGACTACTGGGCAGTCTATCAAAGCCAGTGCTGGGGAGCTCATTGACACGAGGAGCTCAAGAGACACAAAGCTCACGAAACAGCAATCAGGTATCTTTGCAAAATGTCAATTCCAAATGGGTAGCTTTCACAACTTTTTTTAGTGCTGACAAGCAACAATTCCCAATTTCTTTTTGACTCAGCTACACTTAATTAGTAATATATATCACAGAAATATACACCACATAAGAACTACAAAAGGAAACATAATGGTAAGCAATATTGTTACTTTGGATTAATATAAAGCCACCATCTATGCTCATTGAAGTGTTCACAGAGACAATGACTATGATAGACAAGTAAATGAAAATGTAGTGTAAACACATAACTTGTTATCTGAAAATTAAATGTGCCATCGCTGAAACCAATGTTATCTGGATTTTTTATTATTATTATGTGATTAGCTACCAGGTTACTTTTCAGCCTTTCACTTACACTAGATTAGATAAAGCATTGCAACAATTCCCTTTAAAAGGTGCATTAAAGAAGTAAATTGTATTTAAAGCAGTTCTAAGACACAGATAATTTAATCATCTTAGCCATAGTCTCCATAATCTGTTTCCCTGAAATGTTGTAGAAAACTATTTTCCATTGGAAGAAATGCATGAAGGATGAAAGTGCATTGTCTGGAGGACAAGGTATCATTTCACTGTAAATCTTAGAGAGACCAATTTTATTCTTTCTCTTTTAGTCCCACCAATTGCATAAGGATCAACTTTTTTGCTCAACTGCCATTAAAAAAAAACTCCTGTGAATCATGTACATGAACACATGATTACCCTTTTCACCTGCAGTGTTTATGAATGCAGACAAAGACATAACCCTGAAATATGAACTATTAAAAAAGTGATGGGATATTCATCCATGCAAAAAGTATTCATACACACATTCCATTTCCCTAAGGTAGTGAAAGATCAATCTTACATTTCCATTTCATTCTTTATGTTCAGCTCTAGTAAATTCTATTTTCCAGAATGAGCTGGTTTGTGAGTTTTTCTGTACTGAACTTCACTGTTTTGAATGACAGAATTAATCCCTTCTACCTTTCTCTTATTATAACTAGGAAATTAGGAACTCTCCAGTCAGGAGGCACAAAAGTGTCCACAGAGAATTAACAAAGACTTTAGCTGTTATGGGCACTGTACAAAGAAAGAATGAAAAAAACAGTCCCAGTGCCAAAAATATTTTAAAGTTTCACAGTTTCACGCTTAGCGTGATAATCTAAATGTTATCCTGTATTTAAACTTAAGAATAACAACATGTGGCTCTAATAACAGAGATCTACAGTCGAAAAAATGTCAACAAGTTTACACTTTGCCAACAGTGACAGAGAACTTCGGAGTGTGATAAAATGTACAAAATAAGAAATCACTGTCCACTCTTTCCTGTGCTATGGTCCTAAACCCATGGTATAAACAAATGAACATTCTGGAGGGAATATTATAAGTCTTACTGAAACTAGATAATTTAAATCTTATACTGCAGAACTTTTCTTCACAACATAACTGGTCTGAGTAGCCGAGAACTTAAACTGATAAAGAAACTGCAAAAGCAATTTATACCCCTATTTCCAGATGCTGATGAGGTCAATCAATTACATTCTGTAAGGGTCACTGTAAATATTCTCTTTTTTGGTCACGTGGTTTTTCCTCCCTTAAACTCCATATACCAGATCTCAGTGTAAGACAACTGAACCTCAGATACATAATTAACAAAACTCTATCAGAGAGTATAATAAGTTTAATGGTTAACAGAACATGAAGGCAGCCCTGATGGTCATGGCAGGTTTACAGAGCAGCTTCCTCACCATGTGCTGCATGCCACAGTTGATGCAGTCCACTTCATATTCATGGAAATTTTTTATTGTTCTTGCACTTGTCTACTTGCACCTCATGTTCCATAAAAATGCCCCCTTCATTTATTTAGACAGTAACTGAGACATGAGCTATTTGATTTTTGATGGCTGCATACTAGGGAGAACAATATAGCTCCTTGTTGTTTGGGCCCAAGGCAAGACAGTAAAGACCATGTGGCTAAAAAAGAAACAATGGTGCACAAGCCTTTTGTTTCCATGTCTCATAAATGAATACTGTATGTGCTCAAACTCTACTGTAAAGGCCTTTAAAAAATCAGCTGCTTACAGAATTTATCATCCATCCTACAAAGCATACAATTCACATCAAGTACATGTATATATATGTACCTATAAAAAAAGTGAAGTGAATAACTTGTTCTCAGAAATAGTTTCACTATACTGATGGTTATTTTACAATATTATACATACTCTCCAGTGAACCACACACTTTCTCAAAGTCTGTGAGAAATGTTCTTCAAGACGCTGTTCCAAATCCCCTGCATGAAACTTGAGTCCTCCTGCGAGTTTCCCCCTCTGTGCTTATCTTGCATTAGGGAATGATGTTTATATGAAGTGCCAATGCCATGACTACAGTTTTCCCTTCAAACTTCCAAGTACTCTTTTCCAAGCAGTAACAGTGTGGGAAGTATTTAATATCTGTACAAATATGTGAAGCTGCAGAAACTGCTTACAGTGGAAGCCTTGGAGGGTATAACCAGCTAATTCTGCATTTGAAAGCCACCACAAATTATCAAACCCTCTTTATCCTATCCAGTCTATACTAATCACTCCTGTATTCACAGATAACTGAACATAAAAGATAAATATTGCTGAAGAACTTGAGTGGCAACTCTTCCAGAGTTCTGACAAGTAAAATACTGACCCTGCAACTGACGGAAGGGAATGGTCTCGGACAAAAGGACAGCCAAGAACATATCAAATTACAAGGTATTTTATAGCCAAGACTTATTCCTCTTATTCATAAATAACGATCTGGTTCCCAAATATTAAGTCTTACTTCTCAAGGGAAAGAAATACTGCAGAAATGAAAAATTTTGAACCAAATGATGTCAGCCTCCTTTGACCCCTATATGAAACAGCCCTCAAAACTTGCAGAACGCTTGATAATCCTCATTATCCAAAACAAACAAATTAAAAATGGATTTGAGATATGAGACCTTTTGGTCTGGGAAAGATAAAGGACATACACATTGGGACACAAGTTTATCCAAAGAATCAGAAATGGCCAAGAAACATCATGAGAGTCAAAAAGGACAGCTAACTAAGACAATTATAAATCTGGTGTTATCTGCCTTTCAGAAGGCACAAGGTAAATGTACTACAGGCTGTGCCACAAGAACTGGATGTTGTATAATTAGAAAGAAAATGCTTTAATTTTCTAAACAATTGGCAGTAACCCTATATTGCCATGTAATAATGCCCAATGGATTGTCATGTAAAATTCAAAGTGCCTTCCAAATTCTGAACATGAACTTGTTGTGTTCAATATGTAATATGGATTTCCCTATTTCCAGGCAAAGCAACGATGGAAATACACACTGCTTTAGGCAGCAGACATTCCTCCGGATTTCTCAGCAGGGTGTGCAAAAAGCCTACATACACAGGTATTGGAAATGAGTGTGTCAGCCCTCACGCTGTACTGATAGCTGTAGAATTGCATATTATAATAAAAAAAAAAAAAAAAAAAAGGCAAGCAAATACTTCTTACCATAAAACCCTCAGTGTACTGAAACTGAGCTCTGGAACTGTCTTCTGCTGTGGGACTCAGGGGCTTAGGATCAGACATAGAGCGTTGCATCATCTTTGCCGCCTTTGGGCTTGGAGGAACCTTGGCAATGTCAGCATGCAGCATCTTCTGAGGGCTGATGTCATCAGTGATGGGTTTTTCATAGGGTACAAATGCTGACTCTATAACTTTGCTTGGTGAAACGGGTGAAATGGGTGAATAGAGAACTTTGGGAGATTTGGGAGGGGAAGGGACTACCTGCAATGTGGAGTCTGGACGAAGGTGGGTTGAGTATCCTATCTCTAATGGTGTTGGGCGTTTTTTATCTTTCTGAGGAGATGAAGCTGACAGATACTGGGGACTCTGAGTATCTGACTCTGTCTCTGTTTGACATCCCAAACTTTCTCCTTTATATGTCTTTTCTGGAGCTGAAATGTGCTTTATGATTTCAACCTTAGCATCCAATCGGGCCCTGATTGAAGGTGTTCTTATTGTTCCTACAGGTTCTGTTTGTACGGAAATCTCTGCCACTGTCTGAACTGCAATACTAGAGACTTTGGAGAATGGTTTAGCTTTGTCTGCCTCAGTGGTACTCTCGCTGTATTTCCCTATACGAGGCTTCCTTCTGGATTTGTTAGAAAGATCCCATTCATCTTGATCTTCATCATCTGTCTGAACACTTGTATCAACACTCTTCTTACTTCTCCGTCTCCTGTTTGTGTAACCTCTGTCTGCTCCATCTTCATCATCAGTTTGGACTCCACTGTCCACTATCTTTTTGAAGCACCGGGGCTCTTCTTCCAGAGTCTCCTCAAACTCCTCATATGGACCACGTAATTTTGGCATAGAACTTCTCTTTTTCAGTTGCTTCTCCTCTCTAACATCAATATCCTTCAGAGACATTTCTGAAACTGAGCTTAGGATACCAGACCTAGGTATGTATTGGGTAACGCCATCAGACTGAACTGAATACCATGCTTGGCTTTGTGGAATTTCAATACCCAGCACTCCTGAAGCTGTAGTGGTTGCATCATCAGTGGGCCAGAACTGACCATTTTCTGGGGTTGCATACTGTCCTTCCAGAAGTGTTTGATCTGTGGTAGTCTGCGGCGAGCCAGTTCCTGAAGGGTCATAACCATACTGATATATCTGACGAAGTTTTTGCTCCTCTAATTGTTGGTGGAGCTGCTGTTGAAGTTGTTGGAATTGTTCAAGCTGCAACTGCTGCTGGGCTAATGTCTCTTGTCTCATCATAAACTGAGCTTGTCGTTCCTCCTCCTGCTGAAATAAGAGATGATGTTTCATAGATTGCAACTCCTCAAGCTTTTTTTGCACCATAAACTTTTCTTGTTCCCTAAATCTTTGAATTTCCTGACGTTCCCATTCCAGCTCTTCTGCAAAGCGCTGCTGCTTAATTTTCTCAAGCTCAAGAAGTTCCCGCTCCAAATCAAGCTGCTGCTGTTTGCCTTCTTCAGGGGCAATGAGAAGGGCAACCTCATCATCAATTACATCTGTATAAACTTCAGATGCTGTAGTTAAAGTAGGTATCAAGCTTGTTGGCTCAGTGGTAATAGTTTCTATAGTATGAGGTGGCAACCTTGTATCCATATCAATGGCAGTAATTGCACTGTCTTTTTCAGCTGCCACAGTTGTTAAGAAACTGTATGATCTTGGGAGAGGTTGACTCTGTTGCAAAGTTGACAAAGAAGGCACCGAGTCAATTGTTTGGAGAGTAGGTAAATCTCTGACAGTTGTACTGAAAATAGAACCAGGTTGTGTAGTGATGGCAAATGTGGATGGGATTGGAGTAGCTACTGAAGAATAAACAACACCATTGGATGACCTTAAAACACTTCCAACGCCAAACTGGGAACCCAGAGATGATACCATTCTTGCTTGGGAATATTGTGGTGCACTGAGCCCGAGGCCAGAAATCACCTGCCGAGTCTCTGCATATGGACCAGTAGTCTTGCTTGAGTAATCCATAACCTCACCTGAAATTACAGGGCAAAGTTACAGTCCAGTCCCACAAAAGAATGCTGCTTTGCGGATTCTGAAAGTCATCCCATCTTGATGAAATAAATGGGAAGGGGAAACTGCATGCAAATCTTCAGGTTAATGATCTATTTTAGGTGTGAAGGAAACAGCATTTCTGAACATGCAGGCACATGCAGGCACCTCTGTGCAAACACATATGTAAAATGAAGAAATGAAAAACACGTGTAATCCAGAATAATTTGTCACACTGTCCAAAAGAAAACAAAACAACAGAAGGAGGGGAAAAACAATAAAAAAATTATCCTGAAATGAGGTGAGGAACATCAAAATTATATTTCAAAGAAAGATCTGCTGCTGTGTCATACTGACCTGTAGTTACTCTTCCAGAAGTAAGATCTACTGCTGTATCAGTTGCCCCAACTCGATAATCAAAGCTATTCTTGCTTTTATATGCAAACAGTCCAGCTTCTGATAAATTTGTGTCAGACATAGATGGTTTCATACCTCCCATTCCTCGGTAGCCATATGACCCCGGACGATCATACTGATAATGGTCATCTCTGTAGCCAAAGCGATCTTCAGGAAGTGTAGTAGGTGGCTGCTGTGCTGCACAGCTCCTAAATGGCAATTTATAAACCATATCACAGCAGACAGCTCTTCTCCCTGCAGTCAGATCTACAGGCTTTTCATCATCTTCTATTACTGTTGTTACGATACCTGAAGTAGTGTCATCCATTGTTACTACTGTTCTGTGGGATTTTGTAGTGCTAAGGTCAACTGCTTCACTCTCTGTTGGCTCCTGAGAAGTGGAGAGATCAGTCCAACCATTTGTAACACCAATGGGTGGTACAGTAACAGGCTTTGTAGTAGCCCATGTTACTGCCTGTGTTGAAGTACCTAGGGATAAATTTATTGGCACTTCATCTCTACCGGCAGAGAAAGCCTGGCTGCTTGTTACCCTGTATGGAGGCTCAAAATGTTTTGATGTTGTCAGCTGGAGCGGTGTTGTCATTGCGTGTCCCAGATCCACAAGGCTGTCTGTACTGGTGGTGTAGCACACAGTGGCAGTGCAGGTCACTACAGTTACTGTCCCAGTGACTACAGACAGGGAAGGTTCAGCAACACACGCAGTGCTCAGGTTTATTATGGATGGCTGGACAGTACTTACTGGGCGCCCACCTGTGTCAGTCACTGGCATCTGCCTTCTCACATCTACGGAAACAGCAGACAGATCCATACAGCTGTCTCTCATTTCAACATCCATCTTAGTTAAAGTGCGAAGATCTATGACATCACCCAAAGGATGGAATCTTCCATTCTCTCTATATCTGGGTTGATCTACTATATGCAGTGGCTCTGGAGGTATAGTAATAGCAACACTACCTAAACCATAACCAGGCACTGGACCCTTAACCACAGACACTGTGGTCTTGGTTACCTCTGTGGTTACTACTTCTGGTTTTGAACTAGGTATTTTTTCGAAAGTCGATTTTGTTGTCACAGGAATAGCTTGCAAAGCACCTGAAATATACATACTCTGACCTGCCATACTTTGAATGTCCATAGTTTTCATGGGCGAAGTAAAAACTGGTTGCATAGGCTGGGGAACGTGTTCTTTAGGAGGTGCTTCTAAAGGCCAGCTGGTAACAGCCTGACTAGTTATAGCTTCTGTGGGAGTTCCAGGCTCTGATGGCAACGTGATGACAACATAGGTTTCCTGTGAGGGTTTTGCCAACCTTGGTGAAGATTTGTTAGAGTGTGGAGACAAAGGGGAAGTGGGAGATGGAATTTTGTATTCAGTTGTGGAGACCAAATTCAGAGTCATACCTGAAGTCAATGACAAACTTACTGGTTTGGGCTGTGTTTCTGCTGGCTTATGAACAGCTATTGGGAGTGGAGGTACTGCTGGTTTAGGAGCAATTGGAGGTTTAGTTACTTCAGTGGGCCTGTGACTGAAAACAAGCCCTGCTGGGATGGAGGATGGTTTAGGTGGTACAGGAGGTGGTGTTGGGGTGTATGTTTTTGTGATAGGTACCACATGATTCTTTAACACAGTTGTGGACTCTAGTGCTGGAACAGTTGTGACTGGAGGGACCGCTGTGGGAGCTGTTGCTGCTGCAATCTTAATCTGTGACTTCTTTTTGGGATAAATGGCTGGCTTGGGTAAAATAGGTGGAGGTGGTAATGGTGGTGGAGGTGGTGGTGGTGGTGGAGGAGGAGGAGGTGGGGGTGGAGAAGGTTGTGCAGAGGAATCCAAAGAAGAGCTTCTAAAAAGAGAGAATACTTTGGCTGAAACAGCAGGAGCTGAGGAAGGCACAGAGACCATGCTGGTCTTACTTACAACACTGGGAGTGGGTACAGAAGATGTTTCTGATGCAGGCTCTGTAACTTGTAATGATGCTATAGATATGGGTGGTTGCTCAGATGTAACACTAGTCAAATCAATCCTTGCCTTATCAACACCTAATTCTTTGTGTGGCTCTTCATGATGCATTTTGACACTGCCAGCCTCTATTGTACTTTTCATTTTTCTAGCTGCTTCCTTCTCTGCTTTGGAGGTATCAAAGGAAACAGTATCAGCCACATATTCCTCGGGTTTTGTAACTGTAGTTGTCACTAATGAAGGTGTAGTTTCAGGCAAACAAACTGCAGCTTGATCCACACTCTCCTTATCTGATGCTATGGAAGGCTTTTTAGTGGCTCCATCAATAGATTCATAAGGCATGCTCACTTCAGAGTACTCTTTTGGAGATGTTAGGGGAACCTGGGTTATTATACTGATACCTTCAGCATCTGCTGGTTTACTTACAGCATCTGCTGCACCAACAAAACCCGTGGTTGCACTATCTATAGGTGATGAACTATCTGTGGTACAAACTGAAGATGTAGATGATGTTAAGGAAGCTGTATCAGAAGGCAAAACTGATGCAGCAACTTCAGATGTCTCAGAGTATGTCAATATTGATGTTTCATGAGAAATTATTTCTTGAATTTCTCTGGCATAATCTGTTAAGTATTCATCTTCAATTTCTTCTGCTGTAAAATGCTGTGTTATTTTAACATCTGGAATAGAAAGTGTTGTGCTACTGACAGGTGATACATCTGAGATTGCTGAAGTAGTGCTTGATGTTAAAGATGTACTATCCACTATCTCTCCAACACCAGATACCTTTGTATCAGATGTGGGAATGAAATCTGAAGTTGGTTGTGTTGGACTGGAGCCAGGGGTTAGCTGCATTTTCTGTCTTTTCATAAGCTCTTCATAAGCAGCTTCTGCATCTAACAAGTGCTTTTCCTCGGCGGCAGAAGTTACTGTGCTGTCTAATACAACTATTTCATGACTTTCTGGGATAATGTAAGAACTAGAAACAATATCTTCTTGAGGCACAATAGTATGTAAAGTCTCAACACTATAGTAGTCTTTCTCTAGATCAGTAACTTTCTGTGGTTCATCATAGACCTGTTCTGAAGCTCTTGGTTTTTTCTCTTTTCCTTTCTGTTGCATATATTCACTGCTCTCATCTTGTCTCATGACAAGACTAGTATCAATACTTCCATTGTAAGTATCCTCTACTAAAGATTCATAAATATAATCCTCTATAAGCATTCCACCATATAAAGATTCTTTTTCAAATATTTCATCTTTTTCATTTGCAATCTGAAATGATTTGGACTTATGCATCATCTCCTCATATACCTCTTCAGCACTTTTCAATGTCTTTTGACCACTTTCTTCTTTTGGGAGTCCAATTGGTTTTTCATCTGTTGGCGAGTATAGAGAGACAGCAGTAGGCAATTTGTAAACTTTTTGTACTTCTATTATTTTTTCTGGGCTGATTTCAAATCCTTCAGGATCTGACTCAATACTGGGTGAATATTCAGAACAGGAAGATCTGTGCAGCTCTTCCATTTCTGCTGCCTGTCGTAATTCTTCTGTTGGAGACGCATCTTCAATGGGAGAAAGATTACTTGGTGGAGTCTTGGGACGTTCCCTTCTTCTCTGGGCTCTTAGTTCATCCTTGTCCTTTTTGGATTTTTTGCTAGAACTTTTTCTTTGTTGCTGTTCTAATTCACGCTGTTTCTCTTGCTCCTTTAGAAGTTCTTCCTCTTCCCGTAGTTCTTCTTCTTCTGAAGAGTCTTCAATAGTTGGAAGAAGAGGACCATGTGTCCGGTGTCTGGCTTTGCGCTGTTGTTTGCTCTCACCTCCCAGTTTTTTGTGACTAGGACTGCTGTCACTATCTTCGTCAAGTGATGACACTGAAGTAGGAGATGTACCTGGTGTGAAACTAGAAGCATGTAAACTAGAAGATCCTTCTCCTCTGGATCTATCTTCTGGTGAATCTGTAAGACTCTCCATCTCTAGCTCAGGCTCTTCATCAAAATATAAAATACCTTTCTGTTGTTCAGATACTTCAGAATATTTGCTTGTTACTGTACTATTTAATTCTATTGTTTTGAAACGTCGAAGGCCTCCTCCTCCAGTTACTGTAAGTTCTTCACTGTCTTGACTTTTACTTTCCCTGTATTTTGGCTCTGGGCTTTCATCAAAAGTTTCATCATCATCATCGTGCCATGAATGTCTTCTTCCTGCATCCTCATCATAGCCTGCACTACTTTTCCGTGCCATTCTTCTGTGTTTTCCAGTTGTTCCTTTGGCTTTGCTTTTCATTTCTTCTTTCTTTTGGCTTTCAGCTGCACTGATCTCTTTGAGTTGATTTCTGATGAACTCATCATCTTCAGAACCTGAAGCATCTTCATCAGCACTCATCTCCATAATCTGTTTTCTAATGAAGTCTTCCTCATCACCTGATCCCTGGCTGTCATCTCGTTTGTACTCATCACTGCTTGAAGAGCCAACACTAGTTCTTCTTTTTCTCCTTGGGACAGGTGAGTTTTCACTCTCACTGCTGTCTTCCACAGAGTCATAGCGTTGTCTTCTTGCTGATACATCATCTCCTTCACGTTCCTCCTTGTAGTCTGCCTGGGAGGCAGCACTTCCTTTCCCCTCTTCTACGATGGTTCCTTCACTTTTTTTAATAGCTTCTAAGTCTTCCTCCTCTGAACTGTAAGATTCTGGAGTGACTGGCAAAGGCTTTGCTTTATGTTGATCTTTTGTCTGTTCACCATATGTTTCAGAAAGCTCTTTGCTTTTTGCAGATTTTTCATCAGAAAGAGTACTTGCCTGAGCTTCCAAAATTGAAAGTACAGTACTTTCCAGTTTAGCTAGATCTGAGGGGCTTGGTGGACTTTCTTGAGAAATTGTGTCTTTTTTATTAGTTTCTCTGAGTAAATCCTTTTCATCAGTGGGGATAATACTTGGAATTTCACCAAGTGAACTTGATATCCCGTCAGAAGAATACCCGGTGTCACTCAGACCTTGTGGACTTTTCTGTTGCTGAGAGCTTGATGTGTCTGATTTTTCATCCTCCTTTTCCTAAAAAAATAAATACATATGCGTATGTATATACTTATATATAAATTCTTAATGTCTCCTGGCAATTAAATACATGTGATTTTTTTTTCCTAAAGGATGAGTTAATGTCTCAGTTGAAGACTGAACACTAATTTCACTATTCAAAGCTGTTAAAATAATACAAAAAAGTTCCTCACATTTTTATTTTTTGCATTGAATCTACTAAGCTGTGCATGGCTGTCCATGCTGGTCACTGATTTTACTGTTTACAAGATGATCTTTTTTTCAATATAAAAAGTTATTGTATTTAATTATTTTCAGGACATTTACTAGTGATAACCTGTCATTTGTTCATATATCCATGGGACAAGTTGTTTGGAGGCTAATTGATATGAAGATTGTAATTACTATGCTTCAAAGCTGTCTACATGGTTCTAGATACAAAGTAATATGGCTTGACAAATGTCTGCATAATTTCTGGGGACTGCTCCTTTTTTTTTTTTTTTTCCATTTAATCTTTTATAATTGTAGCAATATGTCAATCTTCTCAAATTTTGGACCTATTTTGGACCCAAAACTCAATTTTGTTTATTGAAGTATTACATATTGCAACATGCAACAGAATACATAGAGTATTGAAGCATGACTTAACATGATTTGGAATGTCCTCACATATATAATTGGGCACTGCACAAATATTTTCTGAGTACCTCATAAAAAAGAAGTTTCTCAGTAAATTGCATAGGTAAGCTGCTAGTAGGGAAGGGTAATTGCAGGGAAGAAAGCAGGATGGTCAGCTGTTGGTCAAAGGAGGCAAACAAGGAAGGCACACCTAACTGAGCATCAGAACCAATGCTTTTTTTCCCATCCCTAATTAAACACCCTTATTCATCCTAGCTCCCAGATCTTTCTACACCATTCTGACTGACAAGCACCTCTATCTCCTTTAAATAACAACAATACCAAAAATATCCTACAGCAAGTATTTCTGGACCAGTTTCCCTCCTGCTTCTCTCAGCTGTGAAATACTCAGTGAAAGTACCTCACCACTTAGTTAACAAAACAGCTCACTCTCAAAAATACAGGTCATCTTAGCTGCCCTCTTAGCTGATAATCTTATGAAATGTCCCCATCTCCACCACCACTTTAAGAACAACCATCCCAAATTCTCCTTCTTTTATTAATACGATGTAATTCTTATATCAGTAATGGCTCTCAATAATACAAGTAGCTAGTATTTATCAGCTTTGTTAATCTGAGTCAATGATTTCTGAAGTACAGCAAACCATTTATTTAGAGTTTTAATTTAGCAGCTTCCTTGATAATACTCTTAATTGAAAAATAATTTAAAAATAATACTGTGGAATAAATTAATTAAGGAAATTATCATGAATGTCAGTTATAATTTAAAGTTACATTTACCTTCATGTTAAGTTGCTATAAATTACAAGCATTTACAAATGTTTATTCACTCTAAAATTACATTTAATGCCAAAATATTAAATATTTGTTATTGTGAGTTATTTTATTTTTAAAAATTAGCCAGTTTTTTTATATTGTTTCATTCACATTTATGATACCTGTTCTTGCTTTCAGATATATCCCTTTGAACATAATCCTACATTAAAACACTAATATTACAGTAAAATACTAGTTAGTATTTTATTAAGTAATCATCATTTCAAAGGAGTGATTTATTATATGCTTTGCAAAATCAGATATTACAGTGAATATAAACTACATCTGTTCTTACTAACATTGTACCCAATATTGTAAACCAAATTATCTGATATCACAGCAAAATCCATTGTAATTAAAAATCCACTGTGAAAACAAATATTACTAAGGACTTCCTGAATGATAAGGCTGTGGTTAATAAACAGATATGAAGAACCTATAGTACTCAAAACAACTTTGGGAATTATCACCATTTGAACACTTCAGCACTCACTATTCTGAAAAACACAGTCTTGGATATGCTCCAGCCCCTAAGGACAGAACTATGTATAGTCTTTACAAAAAGTCAGTAATCAAGCATAGTTAAAATTCAGGTTTTGTATGTTATATTTACATTTTTTTTAACCTTTATTAAAGAAGAAAGTGTTTAAGGGGAATTTATTGGACTATGTTTAAAAAATAAACAATTAAATATATCATTAAAACCAAGGGGTTTTGACCTCTGTAAATATCACTAAAATTTCACCTATGGCACTTGATGGCTATTTTTTCTTTTATGATCCATATGTTAATACTTATAAAGACAAAACTGACAAAACATAGTTTGATCAGTTTGGATGAGCTACTGAAAAACGCAAACATTGTTCAAGCCCTGAAAGTCTCCTAGGAGCTGATGGGCAGAATGCATCCATCTAGTGAAAGTGAGTCTCTCAGGTTTTGGTTCTCAAAAGGAAGATGAAATGACACAGTCCCTTGTAAAGCACAGACAGAAGGCATCAACTAAACAGTTAAGCACAGAAAAAGGTAGATAACAACTGGTTGGGGAACAACTTCAGAGGAGATGGCAATGAATTGGTGCTGAACCTCAGTGTATGCCATAACAGGACTGCTATGAGAAACAGGAAACTGATTATGGGGAAGTCTGCAATTTGAACAGTAAGGAGGAGAAAAATATCTACAATAAGGAAAGACTTCTTTTATCCCTGGAAATAAATGTGATGAGAAAAATCCAACTTTCTTTTTAAAGCTATCAAAATATGAATATATTTTCTATAGTTTTTGTAGGGACCATTGCCTGCCCCATGGTACATCAAGTAAAAATTATCCTGTACATCATGTTTCGAGATCAATATGCGTGTTACTTACAATAAATAATATTTGGGTTTTGGGCTTTTTTCCCTCTATTTCCTGCAGCCTGAGAACTAGGATATTGCCACTAGCTACATCTATTCTTAAATGACTGGTAACTTACTTTCTACAGGGTTGGCCATCACATACACAAAACCAGCATAATTGTTAAACTTGTAAACATACCATAAGATTTTTAGATGAAAAGCAAAATATTGCAGAAATAATGTTGCTAAGGATGCCACAATTCTTTGAGAATGAAAAATGCATTCTATTCAATAAGATGAAAAAACCATTATTTTCTTGTAAAGAAGGAAGTGGTTTGGAACATGTTGAATTACTAGGCTTTTCTGAGTATTTGAGTGGCATTTACTCCGCAAGTTTGCCTAGTGTGAGTTTGTAACACTGAACAAATTTACCTCTAATACAGACACTGATGGCAGGATCTTGAGACATGAGCAAGAAGAAGACTTATAAAACCTGAAGTCTGGATAAGACTTTAATTACAACAAATGCAACCTCTTTAACTAATGATAAAAATGATCTAATGTCAAAATGCATTTGTGCTATTCTAGTGGCTTTTTTACAGTCTCAGTGTCAATACATTTCATTTTTGCTTTAGAAATATTATTTATCATTACTCTTTCTCACTTTTACTATTATTAGAAAATATAAAATTTAATTCTTAATGTGTTCAAAAAACATCTAGATGTGGCACTTGGGGACAGGGTTTAGTGGTGAAGGTTGAGCTTCATGATCTTAGAGGTCTTTCAACCTTTATGATTCTATAAAAAAACCCACATTGGTTATCAAACCAAATCAGAACTTTATTAAAATAAAACTATGACTAAAAGAAAAAAGTATTTTTTAAAAAAATTATAGCTTGCAAGATTATATTCTATTGCAGGAAACAGAAACACTATTTTGCAAAGGAACTCGTGATTTTTAAAAGGTCATTCTGTTTATATAAGAAATAAAGATATCTACATTATAAAAAAAAGTTTCACAAAGTGGAAAAAAAAGACTTTGGTTGACTAGACTATTTCATCTGGATTTCAATTTTGTATTTGCAAAACGAAAAAAATATTTGTACTCAGAAAAACTTCATATAGACAAGTTTTTTCCTCCTTTTTCTATCTCTCTGGGCTGTGTTTTGTCACTAATGGCATGTGTTGGAATAATCACACCTGTTAACAATGTATTAATATTTACCCAGTTACTGAACTGAAGCACATGATCAACTCTCAGTAAAGATAAGAAGGTAGTAATAAGGCAACATATATAATACAGCTGATTTGTTGTAAATATATGTCCAATTGACACCTCGGTAATGTGCTCATGTAGATACACTGAACTACTTCTGTGTTAATTCGTGAGTTCCAAGATGACTGTTTGATACTGATAAACAACATGTGATAAACCTCCAAGACTTCCAGGCATCCTTGTTCGAACAGCTAACTGCTACTGCACATGTCAATTTACAAGATAATTTCTCAGGAAAAGGACTTGTAAATCATGAGCAGTCAGCTTAGTCTTTGAAAAAATTTTGAAGAAATTGCATTTTAAAATATTACTGAAAAAAAAATGCTTTGAAGAAAAATAATGGCTTCATAATTCCTTAAATCACACTTAAAGACTCAAATATTTTAAACTGTTTCAATATTAAAGTCACTTTTTTCTCAAAGGATGTCAGATCTCTAAATACAATTTGGGGGTTGGTCTCTTCTCCCAGGCATTCCATTCCTGGAAGGGTTCAAGGCCAGGATGGGGCTCTGAGGAACCTGGTCTAGTGAAAGGTGTCCCTGCCCATGGCAGGGGATTTGGAATGAGATATTTAAGGTCCTTTCTATCCTAAACTGTCCTATGACTCTATGATTTTCCAAGAACAATTCTATTGATTGTTCTAAATCAGAACTTCAGTCTCTTCACGCCTTTAGGGACATGTTGGGGCGTGTCATGAATGATTGTTTAAGGTCACTTAAAAAAACACCACAGGGTGTTGCTGCCTTTTTCTTTTTTCATTTTGTAGTGAAAAATGAGGATAATAATGTCTTGGTTATCCCTTGAAAACAAAACAAAACAAAACAAAATAAAAACCCAAACACGAGAAACCAAACACACACACACAAAAAAAACCCCAAACCAACCAAACAAAGAAAAAACCCAAACTTTTGTGACTGGGTTTATTTCAAAACGTAATTCTGGCAAAGGTTAAACGCTTTCCCTAAACCTACTCCTATTTTCATAACATGCTACTTTCATAACATAATCCCAATTCATAACATAGCCCCTAATTTGTGGTACTAATATAAAAATGTTTAATTCTTCATCTCTCAAATTGTGCATTTTGGCTGATAAAATGACTTGTTGGTGAGTACGTGTTCAGCAAATGCATTTATTTAAGAAATGCAGACCTCTTGAACCTGCTGTCATAAACTAATCCATTTCTCTATCTTGAACACCCACCAAGAAGCCTATCTGAAAGTATTTGTGTATATGACAGGAGTAAACTGAATTGTAAAAAGATGTAAAGTTTGAATACTTTCACATACCATATCCAGATGCCTCAAAATATTCCTGAAATGTATATTATAATTTGGTGGCAAACAACTGAACACCTTACCATCACAGATTATTCCCTTTTGGGATTGAGAACTATGAAAACAATCCAATTTCAACAATCTTCACAGTCTGGAGAGTTTAAAAATCAAGGTAAATAAAATCCAAAATATCTGAAAAATTATTAAACTGGAGCTTTGCCTTAGTTTCAAATGCTTAACTGCTGGAAACTGAAAATCAGGAAAGTACTGAAGCGTGCATGTAGAGTACAGTACTCACTGGCTACACTTTCACTCCAGGTGAGTCATTGATTTTATCATTTAGAATCATCTTGTACAGCGAATAACAGTAAAGAGCAGGAACACATACAGGAGAGGGTCTGCCAGGATCAGGTTCTAAATTGTAGCAAGGGAGAAAGGGAGGTGGGAGGGAGAAAGCCACTTACTATTTTTTCTCGTGCTGCTTCCACGTGGTCGGCTCCTGGCAAAGGTGTTGTTTGAACAGGAATTTCTTCTTCCTGAGCCTTTTCAGCTTCCGAAACTGTTTGTGAAATCCCAGTTGCCAAATCTTCTTTCTTAAAATCCTCTTGTTCCTTAGCTTGCAGTCCCTTAGAAGGTGCTTCAACTTCTTTCTGTTCAGTAACATGGTCTTTAATCTCAGCTCTAATTTCTCCTTTTTTGTCCTCTGGATGTGGTGTGCTCGTTTCTGGGAGCACAGGTTTTTTATCTCCTTCCAAGGTGCTTAGCAGTTTCTTTTGGTCTGAACTTACTGTTACAGGAATTTTATCTGTTGAAGGTGTCTTGGACAGTTTCTCTTGCTGAATTTTTGTTTCTTCTTTTTGATCTTCCTCTTGGATTTTCTCCACTGATGAAGTTTTCATAATTTTCTCACGCTGAAGTTTTGGATCTTCTTTCTGAATCCCATGTTGGATTTTATCAACCGAAACTGCCTTTGGCATTTTGATTTCCTGAAGTTGTGCATCTTCCTTCTGAGCTGCATGTTGGATTTTGTCAGCTGACAGTGCCTTTGCCATTTTCATCTGTTGGAGTTTTGGGTCTTCTTTCTGAATTCCCTGTAAAATTTTGTCAGCCGAGGGCACTTTTGCCAATTTTGCCTCTTGAAGTTTTATGTCTTCCTTCTGAATTCCATGCAAAATTTTATCAGCTGAGGATGTTTTTGCCAGTTTTGCTTCTTGAAGTTTTTCATCCTCCTTCTGAACTTCATGCAAAACTTTATCATATGAGGCTGCCTTTGTCAGCTTTGTTTGCTGAATCCTTGGGTCTTCCTTCTGAGAAACACGCTGGATTTTATCAGCTGAGGGTGTCTTGATAAGTTTTCCCTGCTTAAGTTTTGCATCTTCCTTTTGAATCCCTTGTTGGATTTTATCAGCTGACAATGTTTTTTCCAGCCTCCCCTGCTGAAGTTTTGGAGCTTCCTTCTGAATGCCTGGTTCTTCTTTCGGCTTCACTGCTGCTGGAGTAGGAGGTGTGGAAGTCTTCTGAGGAGAATGTGAGACAGCAGGCATAGGCTGTTTTGGAGGAGTAGCAGGTGGTTTGGATACTGGTTGTGAAGGGCCTGTTTTTGGAAGTGGCACCTTGCCCATATCTCCAAGTTGTCCTGACATTGCCCTTTGGGTCTGGCAGTTTAAGCACAGCCATTCCTGTACCTGTGATAGAACAAAAATAGGAAGTTACTCATTTGAAAAAGTAACAGTAAAATCATACAGTGTTTTCAACTGATATGGTTGAATTCTTTTAATCTGAATGCTATGCATGCTCAGAAGTTTTCTTTCTTTCCTACTCTCGCAGGAAGATCCATAACACCTTTCTAACAGAAATGGAGCATGTTGGGTTCCAGACGGGCAAGCTGAACAAATATAAAAAGACACTGTGAAAACTAACAGCAATGACATTTTTCCAAAGAATTGATGACCTGCATGTACAAAGTTTGTTTATATATTTCTAATATTTATTGTTTTCTAAAGCCTCTATAATCTATCAGTAGGTCCATCTGAATTTGCAAATGGGAGTAAAAGGGGACCAACTGGGACTCATGGCTCTTTGCGTTTCTCTTCAGAAATCATCTTCCCCTCTTGAATTTGTGTATAGATATCAGTGAAGTGTATAAATGTAATATGCCTGTAACTCAAAAGGAAGATCACCTGTCTGCTCACTTTACTGCTAAATCCCTGCTGCACACAGGCTCCTTTTACTCTTCTTCCCAGAAGAAAAGAAAAAGGGCAAATGCTTCTATCTGCGCAAAAGATCTTGTTGCCAGTTGCCTAGCTACTACATGAGAGCAGTAATCAGACTGTTTCCAGTGGGATTTGGTGTATAGCTCCTTTAAGATAGCAAAAGAAAATTTTAAACATAGGAAGGCACTGAAAGGAAAGGAAAAAGAAAAAAACAGACCAGACTCTTGTGGATACTCGAATAGATAATGAAGGTCTACTTCACTAGTGCAAAATGAGCTTCACTCTTGGATAAGAGTGCGTGCTGTACATTAAAGCCTAGACTAAAAAATAGCTGATTGAGGTAGTAAGTGAAATATAAATTCAAAGAATCACAGATTAAGTGATAAAAAAGTTAAGTGAGGGAAGCTCACTTAATACACTTAATTTAAAATAATATTTATTATTCTTCTTTTATAGAAAAGAACAAAAATAATGAGTCCTAGAATTGACACAAAAATTATTTATTAATAGTATCTGAAATTATTTTCCCAATAAATGCATTTATTGGCTGAATCAGTTGTCTCCCCTGACAGTTACTATCCCCTTTGCAACTCTAAACTGAATGTGGTTCTGTGTCATACTACTAAATATAATTTAGATTTAATTTTTCTGTTGAAAAAAGCATTAAAACATAATCCTCAAGGAAAGATTATCCTTCCCTATAGGACTTAAAGTGTTCCAACTACACATAGTTTGTCTGGGAAGCACTAATTAAGAAACACAAATAAAAGTAACTACTTCTTTTAATGAATGTGCAAAATATAACTTAGTTTTCTTGCAAATATTTCTGTTAGATGGGTTTATCCGGAATTCCTACTATAGTTTCCTCTCTTTTCCCAGAAAACAATATTGGAAGCCATAAGTGTGTTGTGTACTGTCTTTCATAAGCTTAAAATAGAAGTAATGTTAAAGGAAACAAATTTGCCCACAGAGAATCATGATAATATTATTGGGAGTCTGCAATGGACTGAATATACTAGATAACATTTAGCATAAATAGACTACAGAAAAAAAGATCCAATTTCATAATAGCTTTGATTCTTTTCTCATATAGTTTGTGCAGACCAATACAGAAAGTTGACTAGATAATTATCATTGATCTTTTTTAAAAAAAAATTATTGGAGGACCTGAAAGCTTTTAAACCTAATAAAAAGGGAGCAAATTTTGCCTTTTCCATTCAGCCTGAAAAAATCCTCATTTCACAACATAAGCAGAAATAATGCCATTTTAATTTGTGCTAATATAGCTTCTGTCAGCACAGGGCATGGGAATAAGACAGTACTTAAATGTATTAAGCTTCTCAGAATCTAGCTGTAAACATCTTAATTACATAAAAACATAATGAAGTGGCTTTCCTGCCATGAAATAATTCATAGTTTAAAAGAACACTGTTATATAGATATTCTTAAAGAACATGATATTTTAAATGCACATTTTCTTTTCTCAGTATCATTTGTTTGGCTTGTTTTATTTTTATTTCTATGTAATATATCCATAGCCAGTTTTTAGGGGCTTTGTTTGTTTCTTTTCTATCTACATTTGGCTCTACATCTACATTTGGCTCTTCTCCTAGCTCTGTTGGTTATGGAGATTCCATTTAGAACCTCTCAGCTGCAGCCGACTCACTGCTCATGCACTTGCTCCCTCTCAGATCCATCAAGTCACTTCCCTTCCCCTCATTTAAATCCTTCACAGACTCAGTTCTCTGAACTTCCTATAATAATTTTAGCAACTTTCATAACAGTATTAAATGTTTTCAAACCAAAATAGTTACCCAGTTACTGTGTCCTTTGCTCACTGTCCCTCTTCAGTGTCTATCTCCTGAAGTAAATTTCTTCAGCTCAAGGACTATACTTTGTACTGAGCACATGATACAACAAGTCTCTTAAAAATGAAAATAATAACAATTAACATGAGGAAAAAAAAATGTGATAGCTTTTCTGCCATACTGATGAAAGTGGTGGTAGTAAAATAATCTGGAATTGTCCAGATATTTGGTGATTTAATGAACCTTGCCATGGTCCTCTTGGACTTTTGCTATATCTGCGTATAGTTACCACTTTAATTTTCAGTGTTCCTATATAGGCAAGGCAAATAGTTATGTGTTTCAAATTCTTATCTATGTTTCTTTATAATCATGTGGGTATTTGATCACAAAAGAGTCTACAAAATCTTCTTATAGCACCAGCCCTCTAGCTCCTGATTCTGTCAGAATGGTTCTCTGTAAAATCAAATTTTGTACCATTAAGTCATATGCCTCAGATTTAGACTTGTCTTTTCCTCAGTTAACCTCATGCCCTGATTGCAAACTTTTTCCTAAGGCTATCTCTTCAGTTAGCCTGTCAACCCAAATTTATTAGGACTTGGGAAATGGACATCATCTTCTTTCAGTAGTCTTCACTAGACAAATCTTCTTAGTTCTTTACAGAATTCTTCACATGCTTTGGTTCCTGAATTGGCATTAGACACTTTGATTGGCACTATAAGTGATACCACTGCTTTAATACTCTGAACCCATGGCTCTCTCACTGTGTTTTCAGCAAGCCTCACAACCCCATATTGCTGGACAACATAGCTGTGTCACAATGTTTCATAATAAACGAATGCCATTATGAAAAGGGCATACATCTAACATTCACTGTGCATGCCTGGTTTTCAGTCATCATGCAAGAGCTCTGGCATTTCAGTTCCTTTGCTTTTTTATCTGCATACCACAGTGTTAGATAACTTAAGTTGAAAGTAATAGGTCAACTATTCCAGCTCCCTGTCAGTCAAGGATTTTGTATTGCAGGATGTTGATAAACTCCTTCGGTACTCTTGGGAAATGATATTTGGTAAATTAAAGAGGTTTTCTATAACTGAAAGTAACTCAAAGTACTTAATATATTTGTGAACGGTGAAAACAAAAGCTTCCTCCATAAAACATGGCTAAGTTACACCACAAGGTAAATGTTTTAGTTTCATTTAGATACCAACCAACTACTTCCTTTGTTTTTGCTAGATTATATGTTTTTCCCTTCCTAATTCTTCCTCCACCCTGCTCTCGATAAAACAAAATTGTGAAATCAACATAGAAATTAAAAAAGCATTAATAAATAGACCTCTGAAAAATTAATATCCTGATTTCATTGTAATAATAATCACATTGCAAAACACAATCTTTATAAGAAAGCATTTGCTAAATATAAAAAAACCCTGACTATATCTATGAAAAGTACATTTTTTTTTCTCCCTTACTACCTCATTAAAAAAATGGGGGAGAAGCAATGCACTAAAATATTTTCTTGTTACTCAAATTCACAATCTTGTTTTTCACTAGGCATAGAATTTGAGTATGTTTTTGAAAACAAATAAACAAACAAACAGCCCCACCCTACATGTAAAAGTGAGGTATCTCTGGTGTTCTGTGGCTCTAAGAGAGTTTTACCTTAAAACTTTATTTTTATTTGATTTGGGTTTTGTTTTTACTTTCACAAGTTTGTACAGCATATTTCTGAGATCTGACACAACTAATTCCCTTAAAAAATAATAGATAAACAGACCTGACAATTAAAAAGATATCCACAATGCAGTTAGGATTGATTCAGAGTTAAAGATATGATACATACACTGTGTGCATTAATCTCAATTTTTTATAATAGTGAGATTGAATTCAAGCAAACCCCAACAGGAAATGAGCACACAGAATAGAAATCATCATACTGGATGTGGAAGTGCATGATTATAGTCTGATAGTACTCACTAAAGTGTATCAGCATAAGAAAGCCAAATCAAGCAGTTGTGAGATATAATCCACAAAAAGTGAGCAACACACATCTTACCCACATCCGACTCACATCCACTTCATTTAATATCTAGAAGAAGCGTTTCCAGTACCTACAGCTCTGCTAGTCCAATTCATATGTTTATAACATTTTAGAAAATATTTTGCAAGAAAGTTGAACTGATCCTTGAAATTAAGAAAGAGGTCCAATACTAAAGAGGCAATGCGAGTTTACAGGAGGAAAACTGTATCACATAAACTCTGCATTTTTTTCTTGGATAATATTATTTACTCTACAGGTAAAAATGAAAGTATTACACGTTGAGCATACTTGGAATCCAGAGCAATAACTGAACTGCCACTGTGAAATGATTAATAAAATTAGCAGAGATGAGTCAAGAAACTGACAGCTAGAGAAAGCACACCTCCCATGGAGGGAAATCTCCCTACATCCTGCTTAAATTTCAATTACTTTTCTTATGCTTTAGTTAAAGTGGATACATTTTCAGGCTTTGGAAGGCTTTTTTTTTTTTTTTTTTTTTTCACATCCTCCTGCCCTGGGGAGATATACTGTAGCATAAGACCAGAGTCAGAGTCATGCTTTCCCTTGTGAGGACCCTGTCCTGCTTGTTACAGAAAGGAGAGAAGGAACTCTTGAAACACCCAGCC